CAGTACCGGGAATAAAAAACCAAAAACATTGTATTGTTGTATTCAAACGCTAAGTATTGAAAAGTTGAATACTGAAACGTTTCTTTGTTTTTTTCAAGACTGTTGAGTTTTTCTTAAATTCTGCATCATAGAGGTCTCCAAGCTGATTACTATCACTTCCCGGCACTGTATTTTGAATTTAGGTGAGGTCATGGTTTCCTGAAAGTTCTTGATTCTTGGTGTGTGACATCATCTGGGCACTGGAAAGTGAGGCATTTATTCTAATTTTCCTAATCTGGCTTTGTCTATGCCTGCCTTTCCAGAAATTCTCAGCAGGTTGCTTATTATCTCTGAGCCTATAGTCACTCCCAGCACCCAAGTCCAAATTTGCCAGGAATTTGTTGGTAGTGTAGTGTCATTGTTTCAGTACCAGAGGGCAATTCAAGTCCAAGTTTGTCCCAAATACTCTGTTGATGTATCATTCAGGAGAAAAATAATAGAAGGAGAGTACCTAGAATAGAGTAGTCTATGCCCACGAAGCTGCCTCTGCGGTTTGACTCAGATGCCTCATCCACCGTTATACGCATGCAGTCATGCACTATGGGATTCTCCTCAACGCTGTGCAGAGTCACTGAATGACCTGCCTCAGGCCCCTATATTACACCCATAGCCGAGCTGTCACACCTGATCGCACAGCCTGGCACAACTCTGGGGTACGACCAACACCCCCATTACTATGGGTTGCCTATTGCTGAGATGGACTTGCGGCCCAAGACTGCTGCACCCAGACACAAGTGATGCTAGCTGCAATGAAGTCCATTGGGCCTGTGTCTTCTCCCAACTCAAGAGCTTTTCTAGAGTCTCTGTCGCAGGCAGGCCTAGAGATGGGGGCCATTAGGATCTGCCCAGTGTTGCGTTTTACCAGCTCAACACTGAGTTCTAGAGTAAAGTCTTATGCTTACTATTCTGCCCTACAACCCAGTGAAAGGGCACAAGGTTGGGGCAGCTACGGTAAACACAGTCCTTTGGCCACCTAGGCTGACACTAAGTTGGGTCATGTTTGAGTCTCAGAGCTGCAAGGACCAGATAGTCCCGTAAAGTACCAGGGCCCATGGTAGTGATGCAGGCTGAAACACAGTCCATCCCAAGGGTACAAGTCCTTGCTTGATGCTGGGGCAGGTCTAAAACTTCATTTGCAACACTGGCCTGGCAGCAGCTGTGTTGCCCAACATGGGAGATGGATGACAGAGACATTCCCTTGGCCCTTCAGGCTTGCACTAAGCTAGATCACTGACTCATGCCTGAGTGTCACAGCCATAGGGTCCTGGTCAGTCTGTAGGGGATGGGAGTAGTGTGCCGTGAGGCTTTCCAAGGCTCTATATGACACTGCAGAAACACACAGGTCTCTGTGTGATGCTGAAGCCAGTCTGTGAATGGACCTGCCTCAGGCCCCTATGTTACAGGGCTTCATCCGTGAACCCTGGCTTGTGTATGAGGCCTTCAGTTTCTACTGAATGCTAGGTTTGGCAGTGGACTCCATGACAAAGCCTGGTGCTAGCTTTCCTGCTCTGCTCCCCAGCAGGTACAGTCTTGCTACGTGCTCTGCCTCCAGAGGTTGAAGGACAGGTGATGGAGGCTGTCAGCCACAAAGGCTAACACAGTTCCAGCAACTCAGTCCCTGGGTACTGGCCTGGTGGGAGGAGTTGTGCAGTTCTTCCTAGCATTGAGTTTCACTGTAGTGGGCCTAATACTGGGTTGCAAGTCAGGCCTGGTCTTAATTCTCTTTCCCTTCCCCAAGTGGAAGATGTCTCTACATCTTGGGTAGGTTGGAGCTATGAGGAAAGTGGCATAAGTGCCTCTTTTCTACCTGCCTTCAATATTTTTTTCTTTCTTTCTTTCATTTTATTACACTAAAAATAGGTACTTGGTCTCTCACCTGATTTCCTTAGCTCTTGTGAAGGTACTTTGTGAAGGCATGAATAGATGTTCAAGTGGGTACATCTATGGGGAGACCTCACCAGATTATCCTACTCAGCTACTTTCTCCATCTCTTTTATTTTCTTGTTAGCCTTTGGGGTTGCCCCATTTGTAAACCTCCTGCCCATGGCTCATTATTACACGGATGTCCCTGCATCTTGTTAATTTGCAAAAATGCCTTGTGCCTCCTAGAGAAGCCCTTTTCTCAAACAGTGCATACCTGTGTGCTACTATTACTATCCATCTAGGGCAAAGACTCATGTAGTGACCAACTCCTCCCAACCTGGGAGTCAGGGCTTGGTAATGAGCACAATTAAAGTCAAAGTACAGATATACTTTTCCTCTCTTACTCTCTGCCAGACTTGCCTGAGGACTGCAGCCCAGGAAGACAGGTAATGAGGAAAAAGGTTTCTCTTCTCGGGAGCTGCTAACCTGGTGTGTCAATTTCACAAGTTAATAAATGATTAGAGAAAGCTTAATTGCTTCAGATAAAACTTGAGATCAGCCAGTGCTTAAGCTCCACTCAATTAACTTATGTTCCTAAGGGGGCTGAGCGAAGAGCAGGGGGCAGTGCTCCTTAATTACATGTGCTGATACTAGCTGTGGCTGGCATTTCCTGCCAGCATTCACCCAGGCAGTGAGGTGGGGTGACTCTACTGCCTAGAGTTGGACGTTTCTGAAGGCTAGGGGCACTCCGGAGAAAACAAAGGATTCCTGGCCTAATAGAGGGGAAAAGATTTTATCAAGGTGGCTTTTAAAGTCCCTTTCCAGCCTCTACTACAAGACAACCTATAAGGTCCTCTCATCCTGACCTCTTTATTGGCTTGATCCCTTCAGGCTAATGTACCTTAGGCTCTTCCAAGACTTCCCTCTTCCTCCTGACTCGGCCCATTTGCCCCAAGGACTCAGAACCTAAAGCTCATCTTGTCCTGGGCAACAAATGATGCTACAGGCTCTGCAAAGTCACCACCATCCCACGGCACTACCCCTGCTGCCTAGAGACTGAAATCCTCCTAAAGGCCTTCCTTATGGCATCATTTCCCAAAAGGGCCAGATGGTTAAAGTTCAAGCCTGGTAAACAATACAGATTCCTGAGCCCCACCACTGTAGGCGCTGGTCAAGAGATCTGCAGTCTCTGCTTTTTAACTTGTGCATCAGGTCATTGTTCCCCCTGAGCCAATTTTACCTCAAAGAATACCTTGGCTTCTAGTGAAGTAGCTGTAAACCTCCTGGAAGGAGAAACAGGAGCCCTGGAGTCAGGATGCTGCATTCCCAGTGCTTCACAGGCTCCATCTCTGACTTGCTGTTACAGCAAGGGTTGCTGTGACAACCTGTCCTCTTCCATAAGAAAATAAAAGCACTGGGCCAGATATCTTTAGAGTCCTTACATTTCCATGGTTGTTTTTCTGGAAGTAACTGATACATTAAACCAGCATGTTGCATGGTTTGTGCTTAAAAAACCTTTGCCCCCATCCCTTTATTTGAAAATGTGTTCAGTGGGAGAAATCCCCTGCCATACAAAAAAATTTGGGTCAGCCACACGGCTTTGTTTTGAATTTGTTCTTAGGTGATAGTTACTCTTTTTTTTTTTTTTTTTTTTTTTTTTTAATACTGGGAATCAAACTTAGGACCTTGCATTTGCCAGGCACACACTGGGATGCTGAACTACATCCCCGGCCCAATTGTCACTCTTACAGTTAAATTATACAAGCAGTTTAAACTCAGAAATTAGAATTCTAATCATGACTAATTATCAATACACACCCAATCAGGCAGTGTTACTCTTCTGCTTTCCTCTGGGTTGGATCTGGTTCAGGCTGGAAACGCTTGGAAGGTGAGCCACATGCATTCCTCTGCTGTTTGTATTCCCCTTATTTTCCCTTCCATCCCCAGACCTCAAAGCTGTTTTACTTCCTGCCATGATAGACATTGTGGTTTCTTATTGGTTAGAGGTCTGGGAGGAACTGAAACTAGCTCTTGCTTTTGTGAATTTGTGTGTGCTGGGGCGGGGGGGGGGGTCCTCCTCAAATTCTCTTCTGAAGCACACCATTCTTTGTAACACCTTTCTCAACCCCTGTGCATCAGGGGGCCACCTCCAGCCTCTTCTTACTGTTGGCACCACTAGATGGTCCTCGAGACAGTTTGGTCAGCCCATGGCCCTTTCCCCCTTGGGGGTTGGAGGAGGGATCCACAGCTCTGCAACAGCTCTTGCTCACCAAATCATCGCCACATGATTGACCCACCTATATTTTATGGGAGGAAGGGAATCCTGAAACAGATGTTCTTAACTTTCCAACTGTGCAGTTTGCACATAGCTCTGGGGAGGAGGGCCCTGTCTTAAATTCTCATTAGTCTTCTGACTTGTAACTTTTCGTATCTCATAATCTGGATAGGAAGAGCCCTGCTCTAATGTCCATTCTCACAGCACTACAGTTCAATGAGAGTAACAGCATCTTCGAAAAGAGGAAGCCTGGGCACCTGGAGCACAGGAGCCAGAAGCCAGGAGCCAGCAAAGGCCTAGATGGAGAAGGACGGTGAATATGCAGACCGGACCACATGATAGATCACCTGCTTCCTTCACAACCCCTCCTGAGCTCTGCACTTGAGACCTGCTGGCCCCAGAAGCACCCTAATTCTTAAGGCACTAATGTCTGTCCTTTGACCTGCAGCTTTGGCTGAGGCAGAGAATCTCAAGGGGGTCAGCCCTGTTCTTTCAAAAGATGGCTCTGTGGGTGTGGTCAATGACCAGGTCCCCTCCCAATACAAACAGCGAGGGTCTTCTCCTCAGGACATCACATGGTGTCCTGCCCTCCTCCCCAACCCCATGTACAGCCGAGGCTCTCTTCTAAATAATAGTGGATGGATACTGAAGGGATATTAAAGAGACTCCATAATTAGCTGACACTGGCTTCCTAGATGTCTCAGTGGTGTCCTGCCTCCCCTTCTTCTATCAGCAAGTCAACCTGAACTTAATCATCTGACCATCCAGTTGGCACGTGTGGCCTGAAGGAAGTCAGGATATCAGATAAAGGAGTGTGTGACTCTGAGCCCTGGAAGAAAATAACAGGCCCAGTGATCAGTGGAGAAAGGGATGGGAAAGAGATACACGGGGCCAGTCATGCAGGCAACCAAGGATGATCCGAACTCTCCAGTGGAGTGTGGAGAGGAAGATGGGCTCCCTTTCCACCGAGCCTCTGTGCTCTAGGTCAGAATGCTGCTGCTGCATTAGGCAAGGGTTCCAAACAGCAGCGCTGCGGCAAAGAGACAAGGATGGGAACAGATGTGACCTTACAAGTCTCTCCCTAGGTTCTTCAACCGGCAGCTTAGAGGCCAACACAACCAGACAGTACAAGAAGCAAAAAAGTCCTTTGGAAACCATCCTAGAGTTCTGAAGTCACACTTGCTGCCTCCTCCAGCTCCAGCCTGTCCTCCATATCCGGCTCCCACTGACCTTCTCCTACTTTCTCTGGCAGGGACTGATGCCCTTGGCCATGATGCACCCCCAACTGCTATCTGCTCAGGCGCAGCCTGCGTGACTGAGCCACCGCTGCTCCAGCTGTTTCACGTAAGTATAAGGCAGGGCCTAACCGACTCTCCCGTAGAAGAAGGTGTCTGGGCCCAGAGCAGGGAAGAAGCAGGGTGGAGAGGGAGCTTCAGAAAGTCCTGGCCACAGAGGGCAGATTTGCTCCCTTGAGCCACCCAACCCCCTGACCTGGGCACCATTAAGTCACTCTGCCTCAGACCTTCTAGGACCTTGGTGGGAACACAAGGATCCCTTTCTCCTCAAAAAGCTCAAGCAGAGGCAGCATGTATGATAGGAACTCCTAAGCACTGGCCCTGGGCTCCTGGCTCAGACATTTGCTTTCCTATGACTATAGGCAGGTCCCTTAATGGTCTGGCCTCCTCCGCTGTGTTGCAGGGTTTATGTGTATTGAATAAGAACAATGACAGTGGACACAAGGTTCAGGTGTATTACTTACCTCTTGCTACATAACAAATTGAGCAGCTTGAACACACTGATCATCTCAGAGTTTCTGTGGGTCAGGAATCCCAGCATGGGGAGCAGAGTCCACTGCTTCAGGGTCTGTCATGGACTACAGTCAAGGTTTGGACTGAGGATGCAGTTTCATGGAAAAATTCAACCGGATGGATGAGAAATAGATTTGCTTCCACTCTCACGTTACTGTTCAGATCCTTCTGAGTCACTGAACTGAGGACCTCTGTTCCCAGCTGGTGACTGGCCACAGACAACCCTCAACTGCTGGTTACAGGGGACTCCACAATATGACAGCCTGCTGCATTAAAGCCAGCAAGAGAGTTAGCTAGCAAGAGGGAAGGCAGAATCATGTATCTGTTCACAGAAGTGACCTCCCATTACTTGTGCTGTATTCTATCAGTTAGAATATATGCACAGGTCGTACACTCAAGGAGAGAGGCGTATACAGGGGATGACTGCCAGGAAGTGGAGATCACTGGGGCCCATCTGATCACTGCCCACCACAGGTGGGATAACAATTGGAAAGACTTTGTAAACTGTAAGATGCTGTTCAGGTTTAGAAAGTTACTGTCATCCTTTGTATCTAATTGCAAAGAGAAAATCAGCCACTTGAAATAATAGTGTGTCCCAAAATGTGAGAATTTAAATACTATTAGTGCGGAGCCCTCAGGACAAGACATTTTATGTGCACTTTCATGTGCACCTTTCTGGCTTATGATCTTAAAACCAGACTTAAGCAGCTATGAAGCAGCTTCTCCACTGGGCCTTCTTTTTCTCCACAAACAGCTACGTTTTGTAAGGATTTTTAAAGTTTATCAGAGGCACTCTCTCACACATTTCAGTTTCTCCTCACACTCATATTTGCACACTGACTTTTTCGTTAATATCAATTTTAGAAGGGCAGAAGGGCAGTTTCTCGGACGGGGTGACCACTGAGTGGCACAATGAGCTTGAAGCTGAGCCTTAAGCCCTCTGCACTGCCATGCCACCCACTTCCAGGCCACTGCTGCGGCAGAGCCACTGTGGGCCTGAAAGGAAGCTGGACACAGAAGGCAGGGAAGAAGGAGGTATGCGCAGATGGCTTCTCCATAATTCTTTGTCCTCCAAAACAGCCTGGGAGAAGTAAAGGGGTAGCTTTGATATTCTGGTGTATAGGCCCAAGCATATGAAGATGCTTGTTCGTAGCATAACTAAACAGTAGCCTGGACTGAGTTCCCTTTGGTTAGTACTACTGTATACCTTTTGCCATGTACAGTGCTCCCCATCCCTTTGAAAACATCTTATTTATTTTGCTCTGTAACCTGAAATGAATAGGAAAACAAGTTTTAAACCACGCCACATTAACTTATTTCTGGCATTACACATTAGCCTAGGATATTACAGGAACACCACTGTTATATAATTTATGCTTTATAATACAGGCCTTTCTAAATATGTGCTTATTATATTTTGAATGCTTCCAATATACTTGCTGTAGTTCCAAAAAGGACATGCAAACCAGTCTGTCTACTTCATGGACATTTAATAGTGACAGCTTCCATCTGGAAGGTAATGCATTTTCTCCCAACATTTTAAAATTGCTGTTTTTTTGCCAAATACAGACCTATTAACAGTTGGAGAGCTCCTTATATACCTTGAGGGAAAGCACCCTCTATGCAAAACAACTACACAAAACATCTCCAGCATGCTCTGAAGGTGAATATATACCTCAGTTGATCTTGTGCATTTAACCTTATCTTTTTAATTTTAAATTCTAACTTTTGAAACGTGGTTGTGCTCTGCTCGAAGAGGTTGGATATACTGCTTATGTGTTTGCCCACTTGCCCAGTAAATTACATCTGCACTGGTATATGTATACACAACACCTTCCGACCGTAAAATAAAATAATGGAAGTTAAAACAGGCTGGGCACATCCCAGAGGCATAGGACAGGTCACTGCTGTCCACACAGCTGCAGGTCATGCCACAGGCCACCCTACACCCTAAGTAGACCACAAGTGAGCTTGCAGGGAAGTGAGAAATAATGAAGTGTTGTTGGAATGAAGTTACATAAAACGTTGCTCACCTGAGATTCATTTTCCTTCCACCAGATGCCCCAGAGAACCCCAAAGCATGACCCACCGTACATCTAGGCAAAGTCAAACCCGTCTTAACAGAAATGCATAGTTAAATTTGTAGGCTAGATTGAGCTGAGAGATACGATTTGCTGCCTCCTCGTGGTCAATCAGAGTCATAACATGCTGCACCGTGAAATAAATGACTACCAACTTTTTTGTTAAGTATCTCCTGTGCGTCAGGGTATAATATATAATACTACTAGGGGAACAAGGAAACAGCATAAGACAGAACGCCTGTTTTCAAAGGATTTATCATTGAGTCAAGTCGAAGATATTCCCACATAAAAAGTTCACTAGGATCCCACTAAACCAGGATTTGAAGAGTGGAACATGAAAAGGTATTACCAGAGTCAGAATTGGGAAAGAGCATCAGGGACGGGGCCATCAGAGGAGGTTTCTCAAGCCTTTAAGGATGGGTTGGACATGAACAGGTGGAGAAAAAGAGATCATGTGCTCTCCTGCAAAAGCCCCTCAAGAACTCCCATCTTCCAAAGAGTTAAATCCAATTCCTTGTCCTGTCTATTAGACTCTCCAGCTTCACGCCAACCCGACTTGTCCCAGCACTTCCAGATTCCTTACAGTTCTGGAAACCTACCCACCCATGAGCCCTCCTCACCTTGTCTCCTACCCAGGTGGCAGGATTCAGCTCAAATGTGACACCTTCTATAGAACGTCTCCCCCAGCAATTAGTTGCCCTTGCTCAGTGTCCCCATGCCCCTGGCCTGTGATGTGGCCCATGCATGTCTTACATAGTTCATAGGGTATGCTGAATGCCTTTTCATCACTAAGCTGTAAGCTTCCTAAGAACTGGAACAGAAGCTTTACATAGGAAACAAGGAAAGATGAGGAGAGAAAGATAAATTGGTAGTGAGCATGCCAGGGCAGTGAGGGAGGGTGAAGTCTTCAAAGCTGTGTCTGAAAGTTGTGTCCACACGAATGTATACCACATGAATGTATCTAGGAAGGCACTGGAACATACAGAGGCATGTGGACGTGATGAAAAGCCAAACCTTGGTGGAGGGAAGGGTGAGCAACTAGGGGAACATCCTATGACCTGGTTAAGCTAATGTGCAAATGAGTAATCTGAGACCTTGCTAAAATGCAGGCTCTGAGTCATTAGGCTAGTGGTGGACCCCGAGATGCCATGTTTCTAGCAGACCTAAGGGATGCCCATGTTACTAGTCCACAGAGCACATGGGAGCAGCAAGGTTGCACAATAGTGAATTAGGATCAGTGCCACTGGGTAGATGGGGCCCTCTAGCAGCACAGTGATGGGCAGGTGGTATCTCTGGGTGAAGGAAAATGTGCCCCTTCCACCAGGTGAACACACATGGTGCACAGCTTGATGAGTAGGCTACAGCTGAGGTCCAGCTCCCACTTGCCATATGAGGAATGAACGCCATGTAAAGCCCTTCAGGGCAGCTCATTAGAACCACCAGACAGATAGCTTAGAGCTGGGTTGCCCATCTAGAGAGCAGAGTGATGCCTTTAGCCCACCTTAATTGACTTTGAGGTTGAGTGGGACATCCAAATGAGATATCCATCCAGGAGCACTTGAGGACACAGCTGGAGTCTTAGATTCAGACCCTATAGACTTACTGATGAGGAAAGCTACATGGGAGCGGGCTGGAGATTAACGAATGAACCCTGAAGGCCTTTTTTAGCAGGTAACACTCTCCTCCCAGCACCTTTGTCTCTGTCTCCCAGGCCATTGTTCCTTGTACTGAATATAAGTATTCACAGTCATTCTTCCATCCTCAAGATGCCAAGTCTACTCTGCCCTTTCCTTGGTCCCCATGTGTCTGAAAGGCTCAGAAATCCCCTTTCACTGACCCGGATAGCCTCACACCCAGAGCTTGCCTCTGTCCTATTCATTCAGCCCTATCAACCAGAAATAGTATCCCCAGCCTGGCCACAGCCTTCAGGAGCCAGGATGCTATTTTCCATGAAGATTTGAAGGAGAGAGACACCACTAAAAGGAACACGTGTGTGCTAGGTCAGAAGCAGGCAAACTTCTGAGTTTTGGGTCCTGTGCCCTGTGGCTGGGGTCAAAGGCTCAGGGACCATTGGTGTTTATGCCCAGGAGCATGGATTTTGGGAGGAACCAGGCTGGGTGGAATACCAGCCAAATTCATCGAAGTCTCAGTTCTGTGTAGAATAATTTGTGGCTATCCCAAAAGATTACGTGAGGATTCATGAGAGAACACAGGGATAGGAGTGCTAGCACAATAGCTCACACAGGTGAAGCCCTAGGTCCACAGAGGCTAGCATTCTAGTACAGTCATGCCTCGGCTCACGAACTTAATTTTTTCCATGATTCTGGTCGCAAACTGAATTGGATGAGAACCCAATCAAATTCATCGGTTAAGTTCAATGTTGATCTTATGTGGAAATTTGGTTCAGTTCTCATCCAATTCAGTTTGACCAGAATCATGGAAAGAATGAAGTCTTGAACAGAGGTCCCACTGTAGTCTCTGTCTTGGACCCACGGGATGGGGGAGGACAAGACAGATGTAAGGAGAGAGGAAAGACTGAGAAGAGGACTAAGGGAGAAAAGCAGCAAGAACCTTTGACACTAGACAGAAACAGGGAGCAGAATTAGCACTCTGCCTCCTCTCTTCTCTGACTCCACTCTGGCCTAGGCTGGCCCCAGCCCCAGCCAGTCCTGTCTTCAGCAAGCACCTCGTGGTCAGAGCCCTCCCAGCTCCTGCTCCTCTCAGGTCCCCCTACTCCACCTGCACCGAGAGTTCTCACGACTGACTGCTCCTCACCTCTCCACATATATCTTTGCAGAGTTTGATGGGGCGTCGGGCGGATGACAGCGGGAACAGTTGTGATCACTGGCGGAATCCTAGCTACGGTGATCCTCCTCTGCATCATCGCTGTCCTGTGCTACTGTAGGCTCCAGGTGAGTTCCCTAGGCCTGTAGCCAGAGGCTGCCAGGCTACCAGCAAACCCCTTCTTCATTATGGGGGGAGGAACTGGGGACTCACTTTGGGGCCTGCACAGCCCAAAGCCACAGAAGATGGGAGGTTTAAATCAAGGAGTTGAGGGTGGTCAGAAGAAAGCTATGCATCTCCCATTCACCCGGTACCTTTGGGACACTCAGAAAATACACCTGGAAGATACTAGGTCTTGTGTTCACCTCTGAGGTTTTAGGAGTGGTGGAAAGGCCACCATTCTGGGGAGACGCTGAAAGTTGCTTCCAACAGCCCCCAGCCCTGTTCTCAATATGATGTGCATGTTCCGCTTCCTAGTCTCCCTCCAGCATGGCCTGGAATTAGTTCACTAAGAAATAGGGAGGTAAGAAAAGGTGAAGTATTGGCCTTGCAAAGATAGGAGTATGTGCTTGGGGAACATAGAGCTCTGGTGTTTAGTTTTATCCCCAGCACCAACGAAGAGTCCAGAACAAGATATTCCATGGACCAAAGGGTATGGATAACTGTATCTGTGCAACTGAAAAGTACACTAGAGCCAGGGGCAGGGAAGCATTCACACTCTCAGTCTCTCTGTCTCCTCTCCCAGTACTACTGCTGCAAGAAGAGCACTGAGGATGCAGATGAGGAGGAGGAGGAGGAAGAGGAGGAGCACGACCTTTCAGTCCATCCCAGAGGCCCCACCTGCAATGCCTGCACTTCGCAAGCCCTGGACGGCAGAGGTAGCCTGGCGCCTCTCACCAGCGAGCCCTGTAGCCAGCCATGCGGGGTGGCAGGGAGCCACTGCACCACCTGTTCTCCATATCGCTCCCCTTTTTACATACGGACAGCTGACATGGTGCCCAATGGGGGTGGAGGTGAGAGGCTCTCCTTTGCTCCCACATACTACAAAGAGGGGGGACCACCCTCCCTCAAATTGGCAGTGCCCCAGAGTTACCCGGTGACTTGGCCAGGCTCTGGGCGTGAGGCCTTCACCAATCCAAGGGCTATTAGTACAGACGTGTAACCACTGCACCCCCCGACCTGCACACACACCGACACTGCTGCCCCAGCAGGAGCCATGGGGACAGTGGATGACCCTCCAACAGCCCCACAAGGACTAACTCAGTTTCTTTGGTTTTTCTTGCTCCATAGCAGAGGGTTCACCAAGATTTGAGCTGTTGAATGCATGGAGAACCAGGGTCGGGGCTGGCTCCAACCCAGAGCCCATAGGTGGAGGCTGATTTATTGACTGATTTTGCAACTGCACCAGTTTCTCTGTTGGGACTTTCCTCCAACAGCCCTAGTGCCACCACAACCCCTTCCAGGAAGCCCCAAACCCTGACTTTGCAGGGCTATGAAAAGAAGCACCAGGGAAAGCTAAGCAAAGGCTCCGGAGAGGGAGATGAAGTGGCCGTGCCTAGAAGAAAAGGGGACAAAGGGCTCAGAGAAAAGTGAGGGCTACATATTTTAGAATTTGAGATGAGAGGCCAAGGTATGTAAAAAGTACTTCCATGGGACTTGCTTGCTAAAACATGTCCAAGACCTAATTTACAATTTAGCTTTTTACTTTGGTTATCAGTATTATCACTGTGGCTGCACCAACAGGGGTATTGATTACTGAACACAGCCTATTTGCATCTGCTCCCTTGTCATGAACATACCAAGTTGACTTTAGAAAGGCCATGGTGCATGGTTGTCAGGGGGACTGCATCAAAAATCATCTTGTCTCCTCCAAATCCTTTTCTTCCCTGACTTAGGAATCAGCTGTCCCCTGCTAGAGAAGCTTTTTAAAGTTTTGTTATTAGAGTTCCGGAAGCATAGCTAAGGAGGTCTTGCTGATTGTCTCGGGCCCTGGTCCATTATGATTAGTGCATTCCCATTCCCAGGCATGTGTACATACACATAAATCAATCACCAGGCTTTGCCATTTTCAGGAGCTGCAGAGAGTGGAAGGGTCCAGGGGTAACAACTAGAAAGAAAAATCTGACCTCCAAGCAGTAAGAACAAAAGGTGGTTAAGGTGGTAAATCACCATGACAACCAGCCAGCTGGTACAGGAAGAGCCTGGCATCTCCATGGGCAATACTGCAGTGGTTGAAGCTGCCCAAATAAGCTCCTGTAGAGACTGGTGCTCTACTTAAGCATCCACCTGTGACTGTGGGGCAGAACCCACTTCACCACACTGGGACCAACAGCCCTCACTCCTAAGTACAGGGGAGGGGGGATCCTGAGGGTTGGATGTGTCTCAGCAGTTAGATTTCAAGCTTTTGCTTTCCCTTGGCCACGCACTCCCCAGTCTCCAGTGGTGAACTCTTTATTGCTGTCTTACTCTAGTCCCAATTCCTGCTTATAACCCAGCAGTGGCCTTATGCTTTATAAGTATGCTTGACGAGTTTTCAGATGCCTTTGCAGTGAAATATGGCTGCTCCCCCCTTCTAAGGCATAGCTGACCCCCACCCCACCCCACTCCTGAGTCACTAAATGTTGCAGAGGATGGCACAGGGAAGGGGTTGGGCTTTTTGCCAAAATCTTGATTTTGCATTTAACAAAAGGTAGAGAGCAGCTGAGAGAGTAGGACAGAGAAGGGGAATGCTCACCTTTCACATCACTCTTGGGTCCTAGAATTAATGGACAATGAGTTGAGAAGCAGAAGACTTGAGTTCTGGTCACATTTTGGTCACTCATTAGCTCTAGAACAAGTCCCTTATCTTCTCTGACTCAACTTTCGCTAGGGAAAACAGGCTTGCCCAGGTGGACTCTAACGGTTTTTAGTCCTTCAGGAAGTGAGGATCTCCTAAAAGGATCTGCCAGCCAGGCCATTCCCTTTCACCCTCATCTTGGCAGGTGCTGGTACTCCCAGGTGTCTGATCCTGTGTACGTGCATGTTTGCTGAGGAATGAAAGACTGCAAAAAAAAAAAAAAAAACAACAACAAAAAAAAAAAAACCATGAGATTATAAGGCAAAATCACTTTAATTGCTAGTGAAGAGCAGCATGTTTGTCTGACCCCCTATTGAGAGACCTCATATGTAGCACTGATCTTGTACCAGGAAGCAGCTTTAAGCGGGTTAATGAGATCGGTCTCCCAGTGCAGAGGAGCAACTTAGGAAGTAGCTTTAACCCACCCATCCCACTGCCAGCCCTTCCTGGGCCATGTGCAACTCCTTGATGAGCTGCTGGGCCTGGCAGCCCTCCCTACTTCCTGACAACCAGCCCAGTGCCTTGTCCCCATGCAATTCCACAGCCAATCCACCAGCCAACCCACAGCCTTCCTCACCAAGAATACCACCACCACCATCGTATCTTCTGCCTTTGGAAGAATCAGGACAACCCAGTTAGCTATCACCTGCTTGGGGGGCCCAGAATACAAAGCATCCCATGCTATCATGTATCCAATTGTTTCCCCAGCTCAACTGCTACCAACAGTCAAACTCTGGGTCCAGTGTGTTAGACAGAGGTAGGCCACAGCTCTTCCCCAGGTAGCCCTCATTGCTCAGGGCACAGGCTCCAACCCAGGCCCAAGATGGTCTGCTGGCCTCACTGTAGCTATGAAGGCCTGCTCTGTAAAGAGGGAGCTCACCTCACCCAACTACATTATCCTTTTAGCTGTGGAGACTGCACTATGGGACACTACTTGTACACTCTTCAAACTGAACCCTAAACAGGAAGATGAGGAGGGGCTGGGGAATGCCCAATCCTCTCTGCTGTCTTTTCCTTCTCCACGTCACTACTGCTGCTGATTTCTTGTCTTGCATCTTTCATAATTCGGAGTCACAACCAAGTGAATGTCAAAATAAATGAGAAATTTGAAATAGAAACCTCATGGAGTCCTGTTCTTATCTGGGCACAGGGCAACTGGGCATGGATTTAAGAGTGGATGCTCCATTTCAACACCCAGAATGTCCACTTTTAATACCAAAATCCACATATTTCCTACCCTCTCCTGCTTACACGTTAACAATCCCTTGCCTTATTGCAGGGTATCCCCCCATTGCCTAGTCTGAGTTCACATCCAGGGAGGACTCACTGTTTGCTGGGAGAGGGGACTGAAGTGTAGTAGCTGCTGTTCCCTGAGACTGAAGTGATCCTATCCACATGTAAGCCTCACTAGGGAGCAACCAGGCTCCTACTCTTGCCAAGCCCCCCTCACATTCCAGGCTTGTGGTTTCCCCTCCTGTGTACTTTCAGGCAAATTATTGGCCCTCAAAAGCCTCAGGAGTCCCAAACTGTGTTACATAGCCAGCCCCGTGTTGTGTAGGAAGGGATGTAAAGGCGGGGTGCTGAGCAGAGTCTGCAAAACTGCAGGAGTATGGAGTGGGGCTAGAAGGTCAGGAAAGAGCTGTGTAAAAAAGAATTCAAGGGTAAAGGGAACGTGTGTAAGAGTGTGTGTGTGTGTGTGCGCGCATGCGCACACTCGCGCGCACACACACAGACGCACACTGAGCAGCAGGTCCCTGGCCCTGCAGCAAACCTTCCCTAGTACCGGTGGGAGCACAGCTTCACTCTCATCCCTGGGAACCACTGCTCAAAGCTCTATTACCATAGCTCTCCTCTGGGAACAGAAGCCAGGCCCCGAGGCAAATCTCATCATGAAATCCCCGCTAGCTTCACACTACCTCTTCTACCCTGGCAGAGCCGCCAACACACCCCTCCCGGCATATCTCCATTCTCCCACCTTAGCCTCAGGCCCCCGCACTCTCCAGGCCCATTAGGGAGGGATGGAGAGGAGGAGTAAGCAGTGGTCAAGATCACAGGCCCATCAACCTAATATCCATGGGCCTCTCTGACCAACACAGCTCCAGTCCCCATAAGCTGCACCATGCCATCCCAAGTTCTCAAACCTGGGTGTCAGCAGACCTCAAGGATAAACTGCCCCTGGGTGTCAGCAGACCTCAAGGATAAACTCTTCCTCAGAACTTTTCACCCAGCTTTCTACATTCAAGTTCACAAGTGCTGCTCAGTGGGTGCTATTTTGGGGGTAAGATCTCTAAACCACGACCATCTAAGGACAGCACAGCCACCAAGGGCCTAACCAGGAGCCCCTCGGCAGCTGTTTGCTCAGAAAGGAAGTAGCCATTCTCCGAAGCCTCAGGCCCTGGCCTAGGAACCTCTCCCCTCCTCTCAACCCTCCTCCTTGTCCTCTACCCTAGCCTAGTCCCCATCTCAATAGCCAGCGTACCTCTGGTGCCGATCAGCTCCCTCTGTGGAAAGCCAGTGAGTACAAGGTTCCTCCCCAAACACTCTCCCTGCAGCTCAGCTTCTGGGTGCCCCACAGGGTGCCTCCAGATACAGAATGCCCTGTGTTCCAGCACTCTTTGGCTCTTACCCTAGCCGCATCAGGCAGTGTGTGGTGACAGCAGGAAAAGGAGTTGTTCCTGGGTCAAAAGGCCATCTTCTCTGTGCTCTCTGTGACCTCACGCCCCAGCACACACAGCAATCCAGTGGCAGTGCTTAGCGAGTAGGATTTTGCATCAGACTTCAAAGTGAACCCTGTCTCGCTCCTTCTCTTACTGTGTGACTTCAGGCGATCTTTCTGTGTCTCTGTTTTTTCATGTGTAAAATGGAAACAGCAACGCCCACTTTAATCCACAGTTATGGAAATTCAGCAAGCTGACGCCTGGTGCATATGTGAGCCACTATCATTACTAGGATTTGTAGGTGGAGCCAGAACTGCATTTGGCGGCAGCAGGCCCACACTGGGATTGCTCAGGCTTGGGGCAGAAGGCCCTTTGGGCTCCACTCTCCCCACTGCCACTCATACCCAAGCCTTTTTGAAGCCCTTTCCCTCCTGCTCTCTGCCTATGTCAGGCATTCCCAGAATCACCTCCCTCCTCAAAGCCTATCTGAAATGCCCCTACCCTAGTAACTGCCTATAACTCTTTGCAAGACCCACCTGGCCACCAACCTGGAACTGCACTTTTGCTTCACATTTGCCCTAATAAACTGAATGAAGGAAGGACATCATTCATATTCTAACTGGAAAACAAGCTCTTCTTGTTTTACTGGCTCCCAAGTTTAAGACTGGAGGAACACCAACCCCTCCTGAACACAGATTTCTTGGCTTATCCATTCTTGGCTCTGTTGGGCTTCACTCAGAACCTGCTACACTCTGGCTTCTGTGCTCCCAGGAGTGGGCAGGGACTCCAGGCACTCCGGGGTGGGCAGAGGAAAAGGAAGGGAAGGAAGAAGGGTCCCCATATGCCTGGCAGGAAGGGAAGGGAACACAACCATGCAGAACACCAAAGGAGAACCACTTAGAGGTCTGGATTTGCCCCTGCCCATGCCCCCACCAGTCCTATCTCCACTAGGTCCAGCGTCCACCTGCCCTGAATCAGTCTCCTTCATTTCCCATCAAGCTCCATGGAGAAGAAAGAAGAAAGTGAAATGTCAACACAGCTCTAGTCTCTAACCCACAGGTCACTGGGGACCCAACTTCCCCGACTAATCGTTATGTTCCCTTACACTGCCTCCTTCTGATGGACATAAACTTCCTAAGAAATAAAATCTAAGCTCCCTTTCTATGGTCAGCTTTAAAACGGTTAAGGAAACTGGTTGTGGAACCCTACTGTGGCCCTGGTCATCCGATAAATACTAATTTTGTCACACTACTATCCAATTTTAGACAACTTTTCTATATAGTTCTTGGTTATTTTTGGGGCACGTCATATCCGCAGAATTTCCACTGACTTCTACTTTAAAGCAGCTTTACTGGCATTGGGCAACTGTAATATGGAGTAAGATTCTGGGGGCAACTTCTATAAAGTGCAATCAAGCCACCCTCCACTTGCACTATGGAGGATGAGGGTAGGGTTTGCACCGCCCACAGAGTACCACCAGCCACCTGCATTCTTCTTCATCTCCCTCCCGTGGCTGTGAGCACAGTGGAAGACAGCTTCCTTGAAGCAGCCCACAGTGCTTTTGCCTTTTCCCCTTGCTCTTTTCTGAAAGTGTGAAAAGGGCACTTTTTAGAGAAATAAACCTTGTGAGCAGTCTCGATATATTTATTGGTGGTGAGAAGTTTGTTCTGGATCTAGATAAATGACTAAAGATTAAACAGAAGCCTGACCCATCCCACAAAGTCCCCTGAACTCTTGCCACGAAATAAAGGGGCCCAACCAAAGAGAGAGACTTCTCCAGCCAATCAGTTTATACTGGTACCTCCAGGAAGCTGAGAAGTCCTAAACTCTAACCTACAGGAGTCTTTTACTCCTTTCCTTGCAGGGCAGAGTCCTGGACTAGCTGGAGGCAATGGCCATCTTGTTCCTGACCCCTAAAACTCAAGATCATTTATAGTAGACACATGCAGGCTGGGAAAACCTCAACATTCTCCAAATCTGCAAAATTATTGTTTGAATATATTCAAATACATTCAGGCTAAGCATGCTTATTAAGCATATTCTTAAGGATAATATTTTCTGGGTGTGACGTTTTTTGTTTTGTTTTTAGGTAGGGTCTTGCTACGTAGTTCTGCTAACTCACTATGCAGCCCCACTGGCCCTGAACTCACAGCAATCTTCCTGCCTCAGCCTCCTGGGTGCTGAGATTACAGGTGTACACCAACACACTCAGTTATTTTTTACTTAACTGCTTTGCTGGGCATCTTTGAACTCTTCCTAAATAAGATGAGGGGGGGCGGGGGTCTCACCTCTCTCTCCAGAAGATTCCCCTTCACAATCTCCAATGTGCCAGGTTCCCCAGGGGGGCCAGTCCTGGAGGAGACTTTCTTTGCTCAGGCCTCAGGCCAGTGTTCCCACTTTCTATCCTGTTACCACTGCCCCATTCTACCATACACCAACAGCAGGTAACCCCAGCCACAGCTAGGGGTGGGGAGTAGGAAGGCAGCCCTCTCCCAACTGCTAGTGTCAGTTCCAATCCCCATAGGAGTAGATGTCCAAAAGTTTGGTCGCTGGATTATCCTGGACATCA